ATTTGATCTTGTCCGTCTACCATGTGCATCCCTGCATTTGATCTGGTCCCTTCCATACTACCTGGTCCTCACCCCAAGAATGTTTGTATGTAATAGCTTTTTCCCTATGCCCCTTTGCATTTTTTTTTTTATTGCTTACCTCAGCGGACTCATGCTGTAAGGAAAGTGTATTTCATTGGTGCTATACTGCACCCTGGCTGACGAGAGGGAGGAGTTGCTTTTTTTTTTAAATACTTTTATTGGTGGCTCTTAAATCTCTTATCACAATCCATACATTTCTCCACTGTGTCAAGCACATTTGCACATATGCCACCATCATCATTTTCAAAGCATTCTTTTCCCACTTGAGCCCCTGATAGCCGCTCCCCATTTCTTCCCCCTCCCTTCCCCACCCAGCCTTCCTCACGAACCCCTGATAAGTTATAGATTATTTTTCCATGTCTTACATCATCCTCCATCACCCTTCACCCACTTTTCCGTTATTCATCCCCCTGGGAGGGGGTTCTAGATTGATCACTGTGAGGGAGGGGTTTCTGTGGCTTATTTCATACCATTTAAATGTTCTCAATGTGCAAAGTCTCTTTTTCCTTGGGCAGATCAAAGCTTTCTTTAGTTTTCCTAGTAAAACCCACTGCCATTGATTTGATTCCAATTCATAGCGACCCTGTAGGAACCCACTGCCTCTGTGGGTTTCTGAGATTGTATGTAACTTTTTATGGTAGAAGAAAACCAACCCCATCTTTCTCTTGAGGAGCGGCTGATGGTTTCAAACTGCTGACCTTGCTGTTAGCAGCCCAAAGGCTTTCCAAGATTGTAAATCTTTATGAGAGCAAATATCCCCAGCTGTCTCCCACTGAGTGACTGGTGGATTTGAACAGCTTACTTTGTCATTAGCAGTCCAGGGTGTACCCAACAGCGCCACCAGGACTCTTCGAGCCCAGTAGCCACAGAGATTCTGACTGCATCATTAAATTGTTCTAAACAGTCAGATGCATGTCTAGCTTGTTGCCCTGAGCCTGCCTTCGCTTCCCTTTTGGGCCAGCCTGCTTCCACCCTCACCCATTTCAGGTATCTAGACTCATTTAGGAATCAGCAGAGCTTTGGATAGCAGTAAGTAAGTAAGCCACGTGGACCACTGGTAAAATTTAGCAGTGGATTGGAGAACAGAGCAAGATGGAATATTTTAATCTGATCTTCTTTCTCCTCTGTTTTAGTATCTTACTCTTTCTCATAATCGTGTCAAAGAGTGTTTGTCTAAAAAATGAGTATTATTTCTTCAGGTCATCTTTGAGATTATGACTTTCTGCTTTGGCTTCCATACCTTTCATGTCTGCTCTCACAGCACAGGCACATGCACATCCATTCAGTCGTGTGTATACCTGCATGTAAGTACATGTGCATACGTTTTCTTCTCTTCACTTGTGCTTCCTTTTACAGTGTCTCAGGATCTCAGGACCAGTCAGCAGGTTGTGGTGCGAATTAACATTTTGAATGCTAGTCCTTTGTCTGCAGTAGTGGTCAGAGTTCTCTGCACAGCTCAGTTGGAACCAGGAGGATGATAATGTTGCGATTTCAATGTGGTAGGACTTGCAGTGGAAGCGGTTGCTTCACCTCTCTGATGAAGACAACCAGAGTGCTATGGTGTGCAGGCAACCACAATGATTATTCCTTGTCACCATTATCTTGTCAGCCTCTCTCCAGAGGGATAATCCAGCCTCAACACAGAGACAGAAAGAATCCGCTCAAAACTATCCATCCAGAGTCCCACTTAGGGCTCCCAAGAAACACCACAGGGTAAAAACTGACCTGTGCCACGTCAAAAAGGGATTGAAAACCCAAGAAAGAGCCATTTCCCTGAGCTTTAGTAGGACCCCACTTTAGTAAGCTTTCAGAGAGTGTTTCAGAAGAAGCTGTATTGTAAATGAGTGATTTCTGTCATGACAGAGTACAAGAAGAGGCTGCAGACAGATAAGCTCCAGGATGAGATCGACATGCTGAAGGAGCAGCTGCAGCTAACCAAGTCTCAGCTGGAGGCTGCCCAGCATGCCCACGCAGTGAGATTCTCTAAGGTATTGGGCCGCACTCTGACCAGGGGGACCCTCCACTCACCTTATTCATGGTGTTGCACTAAAAAAAAGAGCCTGACTGGTGCAGATGGTGAAGAGCTTGGCTGCTAACCAAAAGATGGGCATTTCAAGCCCACCCAGTGGCTCCTTAAGAAAAAGGCCTGACGAAAACCCCATGGGGACAGTTTGATTCTGTCACATGGGGTTGCTGGGAGTCAAAGATATGCTCGGTGGCACCCACCAACTTACACTACGTCGTGCAAAGCCTCTGAAACCCCTGTCAGTGGTTCTGACCAGCCCGATGCTTTCACTTTGAGTGTCTGCCATGTGGTTACAAATGAACATTAGCAAATCCAGGATTCAGGAATTGTGAGGATTGACGGTATTTTTAATTCAATCATCTGCTTGTGATTACGTTGTGGTCTGGACTTTAAGAAACACAGGACGCTTGGAGTTTGTGGGCCTTGATGAAATATGCCTACATTGCCAATCCACTATGTAGTATCTTAAGCAGAAAAGCACATGGTGGGAAAGCTAGCTCTCCTGTCTTTTAAAGGCTTAAAACCACACAGGGCCATTTCCATCAGTAATGCAAGAGGATGCCTTTCTATCAAAAACCGTAACCAGGAAGCTCCATGACTCTTTGTTGCCAGCTCTCCTAGATGTCCAATTCTTTGCTCATTTGTCATTGTGATGTTCCCTCTGTTTCTGTTAGCTTCTTTTGTATGTGCTAATGGATTCTTTTCTTGACCATGAGATGCCTGATTACTGAAGTAGCTTTCCATTTTTTATATTGTCCAAAGAGCACATGCTTCTTTGTTTTCAAATTATTGATATACTTCACAAACCATAAAATCGACTTTTTAAATTGTGCCACCACTACCCACTGTCTAACTCCAGAGTAGACTTACTCTCCTCAGAAGGAAGCCTGTACTCAAGAGCAGTGAGTACACCCAGCCCCTGGATTTCATTTACTCTTCTAACAAACCCTAGAGGAAGGTACTGCTACTGTTCCATTGCACAGAAGGGAAAAAGGAGTATGGGCGGTGGGTGGGGTGTTGACTTGCCCAAGGTCATGCAGTTGATAAGTGGGAGAGTCAGGATTTGGACTCAGGCAGCCCTTCTTGACCATTGCACCTTAATATTAGCACCTGCAACAAAAACACTATTTTATCGGAGCATTAGAACCTCTAGGCAGGTGATTTTCCTCCATCTGGTTTTAGATGAGAAATCAAATTTAGATCAGCTCGACCTTGGAACTAGTGCATATAAACCTGAACTTGGCTTTCTTTGGTGGGTGAGTGGAATGGGGCTCATTATTGTTGGTTGTCATCCAGTCAATTTTGACCCATGGCGACCCCATATTCCTTCTTCCTCCTCTGTGCAGTGGGACAGTATGAAGTTTGAATGACTTACAGTAAGGACTCTAGAAGCGTAAGCTAAAGTATTGAAATCAGGCCATGCTTAAAATCCTGACTAATGAAACGTCCAAATGGAACAGGCAAATCCACAGCTAGAGGAAGTACACTAGTGAGTGTGGGGAATGGTGGACCACTAATGAGTATAGGGTTGCTTCTGAGTGGGATAAAACTACTCTGGACTTACAGAGTAGTGTTGATGATACAGTTATCTACATACCATTTTCAAGGCTATGGGTTTGAACTGCCAGCCTTTTGGCTAATATTACGGGCTTGACTATTTGTGCCTCCCAGGGACTCCAGGAATGGGGCTAGCCCAACCCAACTTCATGCACTGACAGGAAGGATTCTCCGAAGGCTTGACTGATGTTGTTCTTTCAAAAGTATGTCTATTATTGCCTGACTCACTATACAGGTTTATAGAACATGGAAAGTTTGAGGCGTAGGGCCTCTGTTTTGTATTTCAAAGAGTAGAAGGACAAAAAGATGCTTACCGTTGCCTTGGCTTGCGTATATTATTGTGTCCAGATACCCCCTTACATAAAACATCGTTGTTACAAACCTAACTGAAATAAGCAATGATGGCTAACATATCTGAAGTGACCCTATGGCTGTGCATTTAAAAGTTTTTATATTTGCTCCATATCCTAAAATACGATGTGTGAAAATAATTTTTCAGGAATATGAAATGCAGAAAGCCAAAGAGGAAGAATTCCTGAAGTTATTTGATAGGTGGAAAGAAGAAGAAAAGGAAAAGCTGGCGGACGAAATGGGAAAAGTCAAGGAGATGTTTATGAAGGAGTTTAAAGAATTGACTTCTAAGAATTCAGCATTAGAATTTGTAAGTGTTCACCTGGCAATTCTCGTTGTATGAGTAGAGGTTAGTGTTGCCATGGGAGGTGGGTGGTGCTAGAGTGATAAAGTGGTCAGAGGGCCCAGTCATTCCTTGATTGACCTTTGGCTTAGATGTTCTTCCTTCCTGAGAGCTTTACAAGGGGTACGAGTCACAGAGAAGAAGGAACAAGTCAGAGGAGGCATGGGGTTGAGCGTAGGCTTGGTGGCACCTACCCTCAGGGCAGCACATTCCAAGGATGAATCCCATCAGATCATAGAGGGTCACTGTTAGATGAACTGGATAGGGTTGCATAGCTTTATTTGACAACTCCTCCCTGATTTTGGAACTTACCACTATTGTGTTTGTGAAGACTGACCCAGAAAACCAGATGGACACCCTTTGCTAAAAGTCTCCTTCCTTGCTCCAGTCTCAGCTGGTGAGGACAAAGGAGGAAGAAGGCAGGAGCTGGCTGCCCTGGCCACGTTGCCCTCATCACATGCATGAGTGATGGAGACAACCCACTTGGACCTTCATCCTTTGTAATAGCCAATCAGTGTCCCCCAGCCAACAGTTCATTTGAGCTCCTTGGGCAAGTATAAGCCGGAATCATCCATGGGGATAAAGAGGCCAGAAAAGAGGAAAGTTAAGAAATCCTTGAGCACCCTTGAGGGACCAACGCGTTCGCTAAATTAATTCAATAGAAGGATGTACGGTCAAGATCCTTCCCTAAAACTCTTTACACTCTAGTTTAGGGGCGATGACTTCTGAACAGCATGCCACCTGTTTTTGTACAATCAGTAGACCAGGAGTGGTTTGTCCATTTAAAAATGATTAGAAAAAAATATCAAAAGAAGATTTTATGACCTGAAGATTTTGTGCATCTCCAGGTACTTTTCAACATCTGTCAGTAAAGTTTGATTGGAAGACAATCATAGCCAGTATGTCTTCTCTGTGATGCAGTCATGCTCCAGCTGTAGAACTGAGTACTTGCAGCAGAGACCGCATTGCCCACAGAGCCAAAAGTATTTACTGTCTGCTCCTGCACCGCGCCAGTTTGCTGCCCAGTGTCATCTTCAGAAAGCAAATATGGCACAACATTAACAATGGGTGAAGGTGAAGTGGGTGTTTGTGGTACTTTACTTTCAACTTTTTCATGGATTGAAACTTTTTAAAAATTGGAAGGGAACTAAGTCTGGGTGGCTCGTGGCTCATTGCCTCTTTGGAGCGCTTCCTTCAGATGGCTTCCTATTGGCCTGTTTATCTCCATATCACCTCTCTATAATTATTCCTATTGTAAGCAGTAGAAGAACTTCCAGGGAATACTTGTTTTTACCATTGCACTCTGGGGTCTTCCCCTGAAAGCACATTGCCAGATGCCTTCTCTAAGTGGGATGCTGCATTCTCCACAGAGGTAGATTAAGCCATTGAGGCTGGTTTCTTAAATCTTCCCATCAAAGCCACTTTTAGTAATGTGCTGTCAGTTACAGTTATTTTATCTATGGCTCCTGTTATCTCCCAACCTCCATGATAACGAAGAAGTAAGCCTTGACTTCACAGCTTTTCCATGCAAACTTCCCCTTCAAAATCATTTTTTTTGAAATATAGTTCACGTACCAGTCAATATACTTATTTAAAGTATATAATTCAGATATTCACAAGGTGTTACACCCACCACCATAATCAATTTTAGAACACTTCCATAAAATCATAAACATTAGCAGTCATATCCATTTTCCTGTAGGCTCCGCTGCACTAGGTAACCAGTAAGCTACTTTTCTGTGTCTATGGATTTGCCTATTCTGGACATTTCACACAAATGGAATCTTATAATAGGTGGTCTTTTGTGACTGGCTTCTTTCACTTGCTTAATGCTTTCAAAAAGGAGCCCTGGTTACACCTTGGGCCCATAACTTCAAGGTCAGCAGTTCTAAACCATCAGCCACTCTTCAGGAGAAAGACTGGCCTTTCTACTCCCGTGAAGAGTTGCTGTCTCAGAAACTCACAGGGGCGCTTCTACCCTGTTCTATGGGGCTATAAAGAGTTAGCAGAGACTCAAGGGCAGTGAGTTGAGTTGTGTAGTTGAATGTTTCCAGGGTTCACTTAGGTAGCACACACACACACACACACACACACACACACACACACACGACTGAACAATATTCTCTTGTATGGATACACCTCATTTTATTTGTCTATTCTTCAGTTCATCACATTTTAACACAGAGATGCATTCCTTTTTGTTCTTAGACATTGTACTTCAAACCAGAAATTCCCTCCAACTCCTCCCCTTTCCCATGCAATTTCCCCTATTATTATCATGTTAGCGTATACATTTGAGGTAGTTGGTGAATAAGTATTGATACTTTATTGTTAGCTGAAGTGCATATTTTATTTATATTCTTTAGTTTCTACATTATGTATTTTGTTTGTTCCATGGCCCTGTATTACATTTTGTTGTCATGTCTCCATAGTTTTCTTCTTTGTTTGTTTGAGCTTTTTATTGTGATTTGAGTGAAAATTTAGAACGGAAATTCATTCTCCATTCTACAATTGATACTCATTTTGTTCTGTGACATTGGCTGCAGCCTCGTCAATGTCACAACAATCCTCCCATTTCCTCCCTGGGACCCCATTTCTGTTTACCTCCTTTCTTGCCCCTGCCAGTCTTCTGAGATGTTTTTGGGGCGAGGGCTGCTCCTTTGCCTCCTTTTGCCTGTGACAGTTTCTCGGACTGCCCTTGTTTTTGATGATCGTGCCAATTTGACGGTAACTGGTCGGTGTATTGTAGGCTCCCTTGGGTTGGAATCTGTGTGATGCTTTTCTCATGATGACGATTCATGATGGTGGGTGTTGATCTCGTCACTTGACTGAAGCAATGTTTGCCAGGTTTTTCCATCTTTCCATCTTGCACTCTTTGGTAGGGAGTCAGAATTTGAAAGTCATCCTACAGAACAGGGAGTTAGACTCCTCTACCCTTCTGTTAGTGAAGTTAATGTATTGTGCCTCTGTGGTTTTCTTTGGAAACACAGTAGTATTTGGTGGTGGTTCAGGGTCGGATTTTCATCTTCGGTGCAGGAGACCTGGTTTAATTTCTGATTGATTCACTTCGTGTGCATCCATTCCCCATCTGTCATTGGACACTTGCATGTTATTGTGCTGCTGAGCATGTTTCAGGATCCGTTTCTAGACTTGGACATGGGATGGTGTCGGACTGGGCAGCCTTGTGCCTGAGCTTGCCCTGAGTTGAGGACTGACTCGACATCAGCAGAAATAACATAAACATCAGACTTTAGAACTAAAAAGCCAAGGGGGAAATTAAGCATTGTGAACCAAATGGATTACTGATGTGGGTGCCTGAAGTGTTGGCCTCGCCATGACATTTCGTATTTTCATTTGAGAACCAGTTGCACTCAATTCCTCTGTGTCTGACAAAGAGTCCTAGCCCATCAGCAATTTAAAGGCAAGTCTGAGGTTAGAAAGTCCAGTCTTCATCCTGGATACTTTCAGTTAAAAAACCCAGAGAGTAAGTGAAAGCAAGCAAGCTGGACCACTGGGAAGGAGAAGTAGAAGTCAGATGAGCTGTCTGTAGAACAGTCAAACTTAAGATAGGGCTACACTGCTCCCTGCCTTTAGCTTTTGTTTCAGTTTTACAGATGTATAAATATTTCCATCAGTGATTTAAAAATGTTTCTTCTAGCAATTGTCAGAAATACAGAAGTCCAATATGCAGATCAAGTCCAATCTAGGCACATTAAAAGATGCACACGAGTTTAAAGAAGACCGGCCTCAGTGCCCCCAGGATTTCCAAAATGTGATGCAGCTTCTTGATAGTCAGGTATGTGAAAGTGGGGAGTAACTGCAGTAGATGCCTTACTTTTCTTCGTGAAGTAATTTATAATAAGCGTCATTTACAGAAAAAAATGTCTTTTCTTTGTGATTGACTGATTTGTTCAGTTTCTTTACCTCCTAAGGAACAATTTTTACCAGGAAACAAATAAAGCTTATGAACTTAAAAAATATATGAAGGAAGAAGGTAGCATATGCCATTTTAAAAAGCTAAGTGTGCTCAGTACATACTCTAAAACACACCATATGTGAGGCCACAAAGCAAGCCTCAATAAGTAAAAAACATTGAGGGCCTACAATCCATTTTCTTAGTTCATAACACTATAAAACTGGAAATCAATAATAGAAAGAACAGAAACATAAAGATAAACACAGGGAGACTGAGCAACATGCTACTTTAAAAAAGTGGGTGTGTTAGTCCAGGTTGACTAGAGAAACAAATCCAGAGCCACTCAAATATGTGTATAAGAAAGAGGCTTATATATAAGAGCAATTGAATATTGAGAAAACATCCCAGCCCAGTCCAGATCAAGTCCATATGTCTGATATTAGCCCATATGTCCAATACCAATGTATACAGTCCTCTTCAGACTCAAGAAACACATGCAATGACGCCAAATGCAGGAAGATCACAGGCCAGTGGATGGGAAGTATTGTGGATCCAGTGGCATTTTCAGCATCTTAGCACTGGCAGGGGTCTCCAAGTGGCTCCTCCAGGTCCAGGGTTCTTGCTGCCATCAGCATAGCCCCGTGTGTCTTGTCAACTGCTATGTCTCCCAGGGAGTGAGCTGAGAGCAAGAGTGACTCCTGCCTCCAATGAGGAAATAAAGTGGTTCCCAGAATTCTCAGGAGAAGGCCATGCCCACATAGAGGCCTCATTGACTAGCCAATGATTGACAGGCAAGACTCCACCCCTTCACCCTTAATCCTCAAACTGACACCAGATTATATAACTACCACAGACCACCCTTGTCAACTTGACACTTTCACATAACTCGTTAGCCACATATAATTTTTAAACAAACAATAATAAAACCATATCTGCACCTATTAGGATAAAACTATAATGCATACAATTAAAAAATGTGCCACCCTCAATTAAACATAACATTCTATAAGTGAACAACACAAAAATATCCTATGTCATAACAATTGCAGTTAAGTAGCACCTACACCTTAATCCTATGAATATATTCCAGCACCTATGAAAATTTGTAAGCCAGCCACTTCATGCCTTTATCCCCCCAATTTTGGGTATCCAATTTCTATACTGCCCACGTAAATCAAACCAGTTCCCTGAGGAGTCAGTTATATTTTTTGACGTGAAAAATTGTCATTCCAGTTGGAACCTTGTGAAGTCTGCATTCATAAGCAAAGTCAAATCAGGACAGGCCATCCATAAAATCTGCAGCAATATTGCACCAGGTCACAACCTCAAATGACTTCTCTTCATCTGGTCATGTTCTGGTCAATTCAATGTGGGCTACCTCACTTACCCTCACCAGGGTGTCCATTGGTCACCTTGCCTTTAGACCATGGTCCCATCACAAATTCTTAACAAGCCTAGCCCCCTTATGCTAAGTCATGAACTTCAGACCAGTCCTCTAGTTCCTGTAAACCAGGTCCATGGGTATCAGTGGCCAGACTCAACCCGTTCCTTATTGCTGCATTTCTTCCATTTCCACTCAACAAGTGGATCCAGGTGGTCACCTAGCAAGCATTTCAGCCTGTCCACAGGCTTCCTTTAATGTTCGGTCTTACCGTGTTTCCCCGAAAGTAAGACATCCCCCGAAAATAAGACCTACTTACAGTTTTGCCTCTCACTGAAATATAAGGAATCCCCCTGAAAATAAGACCCTCCTGAAAATAAGCACCCCCCGCCCCCTCCGAAAGCTACTGTAACTCTGGATTCTGGACCGCAGCAGCGGGCGGCGCTGCGCAGCTCACTGTTGGCTGGAGCGCAGCTGGAGCAGACAGGAAGTGCGAGGTCTCTTTTAATAAAACAACAAACAATAAATGTGCACTATATTCTTCTTCATGGAAAAATAAGACACCCGATAATAGGGCCCCAGAAGCTACCATAACTCTGGACGCTGGACCGTAGCGGCGGGCACTGCCTTGCAGCTCACTGTTGGCTGGAGCGCAGCTGGAGCAGACAGGAAGTGTGAGGTCTCTTTTAATAAAACAACAAACAATAAATGTGCACTATATTCTTCTTCATGGAAAAATAAGACACCCCCTGAAAATAAGACCTAGTGCATCTTTAGAGCAAAAATTAATATAAGACGCTGTCTTATTTTTGGGGAAACAGGGTAGGAGTTTTCTTCGTGCTTCCATATTTTTTCCAGCTTCTGACAAAAAAACACTATAGAGCTCAAACGTCAAAAAGCCAAAGGGTTCCTTTTTCTTCAATCTGTCAACAGTCCCCAGGCAAGTCTTTTGGAATACAAGTGTCTTGAGTACTCCAAAGCATTGGGTGGGGCTTATCTGTTCATAGCTTTCTTGTCAAACCTGTCCTGAAGGTCATATTAATGACTCACGCAAGTGGGCTTACAAACCCTCTATTTTTATACTTCCCAAAATCATTTCTATAAATCCTTATATCAACAATAGTAAGCAGAAGAAATTAATACAAAGTAGAATCAGCTACTAAACTCAATTCTTAAACAGTTAAGTTCAATCTAAATCTAAATCCTTATCTAAACTATTCTATTGATACAAAAATATGGGATTAGTTCTCTGACAGCATCAAACCAGAGCCAGGCTGTCAGCCATTTTGATCTTCTGTCAGCCATTTTCCTTAAGCAGCATGGTAATAGTGATTTCTACCCCTGAGCTAAAAATATACATGAACAACAATCATTTTTGCCATTTCACACAGGAATAACCAAAGACTACAACCAAACAAAATAATCAAAACTTTAACTTCCCATATTCTTTAGAAAACACCCCAGTAAACCGCACGAACAAATCTGACTTCTGGCTAGCCAAAGAAGAAACACTCCCATGAGGTAGAGGTCAAATAAACATTCACTCTCCATCTTTATGATTTGTTTCTCTAGTAACTCACTCCCAGGGTACCATAATGTGCTAGGCCAGGTAGACTAGAGAAGCAAATTCATGGAGACTCATATGTGAGTAAGAAGCAGGTTTATATACAAGAGCAATTGAATATTGAGAAAACATCCCAGCCCAGTCCAGATCAAGTCTGTAAGTCTGATATTAGCCCATATGTCTGATACGAATGGATAAAGACTCATGCAAGACATGCAATGATGCCAAATGCAGGAAGATCACAGACCAGTGGATGGGAAGTCTTGTAGATCCAGTGGCACTGTAAGCTTCTCAGCGCTGGCAGCTCCAGGTCCTGGGTTCTTGCTGCCATCAGCATAGCCCCATGTGTCTTGTCAGCTGCTATATCTCCCAGGAAGTGAGCTGAGAGTGAGAGTTTCTCTTGCCTCCAAGGAGGAAATACAGGAGTTCCCAGAATTCTCAGGAGAAGGCCATGCCCACATAGAGGCCTCATTGGCTATCCAATGACTGACAGGCAAGATTCTACCTCTTCACTCTTAATCCTCAAATTGACACCAGATTATGTTACTACCATACTGGGTAGTAGATCAAATAAGGGATGAAATTAAAAAATCCCTTCAAACAAATGAAAATGATTATACAAGATATACCAAAACCTTTGGGGCACAGCAAAAGCAGTTATCAGAGGGCAATTTATAGTGACCAGTACACACAGGAAAAATGGGGAGAAATCCAAAATCAGTACCTGAGCACACCTCCTACCACTAGAGCAAGGGCATCAACAGAAGAAAGGCAATTATAAAGACTTGAGCGGAAAAATATGAACTGGAAAACAGATAAGAAATGGAAAAAATAAACAAGACAAGAAGTTGTTTCTTTAAAAAGATTAGCAGAATTGACAAACCGCTGGAAAACTTACAGGAAAAGGAAGAGATGATGCAAATATCTAGAATTAGATATGAAAAGGGCAACATCACAATAGATTCAAATGAAATAAAAATAATAATAGCAGTACTATGAAAGATTGTTCTCCAGCAAGTTTGATAATCTAGAAGAAATGGACAAATACCTAGAAATAGACCATCTAGCCAAACTAATGAAGATGGATATAGGAAACTTGAACAGACCCAAATCAAAGGGAGAAATAGAGAAGGTCATCAAGAAACTTCCAACCAAGAAAAGTCCAGGACCAGTTGGTTTCATAGGAGAATTCTACCAAGTGTTCAGTGAAGAGCTGTTACCAATTCTACAGTGTATTCCAGAATAGAGAATCGGGCAGCTCACTATGGAGTGAGCATAACCCCAATACCCAACACAGGCAAAGAAAAATTCATGACCAAGGGAGATTCATACCAGGTATGTAAGAATAGTTCAACATTTGGAAAACCATCAGTGTGCTCTACCACATAAACAAGGCAAAGAATAAAAACCACATGATCATATCAATGGATACAGAAAAAGCATTTGACAATATCCAACGTGCATTTCTGATAAAGACAATAAATTGAGAAGAGAAATTCCCCAACATGGTAAAGAACGTATAAAAAAATCAAATAGCTAACATCACTCTCTACAGGGAGAAATTGAAAACATTTTAGACAAAGAAGAAAGAGGGTCTACACCCTTCTGCAGATAAAGAGACAAGTTTCCCAGCACTATTTGTCGAAGAGGGTGTTCCTTTCCCATTTAAGGTATTTTGGTCCTTTGTAAAAAATTAATTGTCTGAAGGTGAAAACTTTTATTTCTGGGTTTTCTATCCTGTTCCATTTGTCTACATATCCATCATTGTACCAGTACTGTGGCTGTGGTTTTGAGGTCAGGTAGTGCAAGGCCTCCAAATTTGTTTTTTTGAGAGGTTCTTTTCTTATCCTTGACTTCTTCCCTCTCCATATAAAGGTGGTAATTTGATTTTTCCATTTCTTTAAAGAATAAAGATGGGATTTTGATCAGAATTGA